ATCGAAACTAGTCCTGTGAAAATTTGAAAATATAACGCTGATTTGTTTTGTTGTTTGACTTCTAAATTAACAGTATTGATGATCAACAATTTCCATTTGAGCTTACACACATCACGAACTCTGACATTCGCATGAAGTTCAACATATCCTTACTCGTTACAAATCACACAAAGTTAACACTGCTATGAAAGATTTTAAGGGAATAAAAGAAAATGAAAATCAGTTGAAGAAAAGAGTTAAAGATAAAGATGATGATACTGATGACAATTTGAAATTGGATTTGGATGATGGCAATGACAAACATGATGATGATGGCAATCATGAAGCTCATGATTATGATGTTGATGTTGACGACAATCAAATAACTAATGATGCTACCGATGATGATGGCAATCATGAAGCTAATGAAGATTATGTTGATAATGCTGATAAAGATGTTTATGAAAATGCTGCTGATGATAATAATGATGATGACGATGAAAGTCATGAAGTTCATGATGATGATGAACAAAGTGTGAAGAATACTGAAGAAGCTGTAAAAAATACACCAAACCAGTTTGAACAATAATATGCTGAACAAGCAAAAGAGAAAACACCTGCTAAAAGTGCAGAAACTGCCAAAGAAAAGAAACCAGACAAAACTCTGAAGGTGGAAAAATCTGTGAAAACTGAAAAACTTCTTTTTTCACAGAAGACTCTCGATGATAAAGTAACAGATACTAGAACCCTCTATCCAGAATATTTACCTAGTCATATCACTACAGAAGCAATCAACACTACAATAGAAATCCAAAGGTTTGCATTCTGATATTTTAGATGTTGCTATGCCGAAAAAAGATGCAAAGGAGATGGAAGAAAAGGGATATAACCCAAGAAAATAACTTTTCTCTGACATTCTAGCAGATACTAAAATTTCTCAAATTGTTGAACTTTTTCCAAAAGCATCTCAGACAACTTTGGATTTATCACCTATATATTGAAATGCAATCGTAAGCTACATACAGGAAAAAGATGCACTTGAAGCTTTAGAGGCAACAAAGAATGCTAAAATATCTGGGGAAAAAATTCTGTTTCATATTCTTTAGCTGCTTTATGCCTAAAGAAATGCAAGAAAAGGGCCTGGATGTATATAGAATTTAAAAGGACTTCATAGAAAATGAAATTAAAGACACAGCCAGATGATGAAAGTGATGCATTACATATTCAAGCTAAGTGGAACACACATTGTTTACAGAAAAAAAAATATATGACAGTATAAAAAAAGTAGCAAACCTGCCTCCAAATACAAACTCGAAAAAAAAAAAAAAAAATGCCAATTCAACCTGGACTAAAACTTCATCCCAAATTTTTCTGTCCTTATGAGACAACAAAAGTTCATCCATCTGATTGTTACGAAGTACAAAAGATACAAGGGCTATCTACATAAGATGAGGTATGCCTTCAGGGGTTACTTTCTGTGGGAAACTGACTTATATCCATGTTACCTTTTTGATTAAACAGTATGCAAAATGAACAATCCATCTGATATGCCAAAATATCACACGTGCCTTATGACGTGATCCCTCACAATCTATCGGTGACTAAATGTCAAGACATGGTTGGTTGACTGGTTAACAAAGCCAATGAAGATATCTATCTTCCAAAATTTGTCTTAATAAATGGCCTTCTAAGAAAAATTGGTTTATTTCATGCTATACAAAAGGAAATCTACAAAGATCTCACATAGCCAACCTATTTGTCATTCTGCAATAAGTAACTTAGTTGCGTTACACTGCATGGACAGATTTATTGATCACAGATATAAATATACTTATGGTGTCTCATAAATGCTTCAAGGGATATTTCAGAAGATTAGAACCAAGTAATGGTGTTAAAACCAATATGAAAGTGTCTTTGATCAACTTCTAACAATCAAAGACAAGAAATGCATTACGTTAAAATCTTGTTAAAATACTCTTCCATCATCATGAAGCTTCACAGTCATGAAGAGATTCAAGTAATGTGCACAAATGCTTGTACCTGCCAGGAGTTGCTTTAAATGGATGAAATAGCTATAGCCTAATGCAAACAATAATGATGTGCACCTGTACTGATTGAATTCTAATATGAAATAAACATAGCCATATCTCATAATATCTACTTCCAGGCTGAAAAGTACCTAACAAACAGAAGGAGTCTATGGCTTTGCGAGTATACTCCACGCACATAATATGCCTGGCAGCACACCACAATCAGAGCCTTCATTCATCATGCTATTAGACTGTACTGTTTTATCTAACAATTCTGATAATTTTGGACACAATTTAGTTACAAACCACCATGCCCACATCTCAATAAATGAGACACTATAGGATTTCAACTCTTAAATTTGGTTAAAGGTAGTGGTTGTAGATAATTCTTTTAGAAACCTCTTTTTTTTTTTTTTTTTTTTTTTTTTTGTTGTTTGTTAGTTCATACAAAAATTTTCAATGATTATGCATAATGTAACTCCTCTGTTGCTGACAACCAGCCACATTATTTGAGAGCACTATATGTCAGATGCACATAAATATTTGCAGCAGTTTCTAAGTGGAAATGCCCTCAGTACAATATTTAATTATAAACTTTTCATCCACAAATCTAGAGAAACAGAACTCCATCTTTGTATTTGAAATTGAATATCTATCACTGATTATATGCCAAATTTAAACCTTTGCAGTCATATACCTATTCTCAGCCACCAAAGTTTTTTGGTTCCCCCATCGTTCCAGCACGTCTGTTCTCAGCCACCACAGCAAAGAACCACATATAATACATTAAGTCTTATAATACATTAATAATCTTATAATTACATTAATAATTAATTATCTTATAATACATTAAGTCAACAAGCTTCAGAGATATGTAGAATTCAATATATTTTCCTAATTGTGGTTAAGTGTAATTACACAATTTTGCTTCTTAAAATATTTTTTAAATAATACTCTAAAATACCAAAAAGAGTTACCAAACTAATTAACCACATGATAGAAAACTATAAAATATAGTTTTTACACAAAATTAAATCACATTATTGTGTTAGATGTAATTAAAGTTAAAAATAAGAATTAATAAAATAAAATTTAAAAAAATCTAAAGGCTTTCAGATTTCACATTGCGCTTAAAGGGGCGTTCATGGGGATACGAAACAGAACTTGAAAAGTGATACTGACATTCCACACAAAATACCATCAGACACTGTAACGTTTTTGTGTTGCTATGCTACCAACATAATACATACATTGCTATGCTACCAACATAAAAAATTTAAAGAAACCTCGCGCATAAAATATCCATGCTTGAAGATGCACACAATGTTAATGATAATGGAACACTTTGAAATCAGTGAGTTTGTTAATAAAAAACTTGTTAAAGTTTTACAAAATATGAAGTAGATAATAAAACAAATTTTAAATTTGGGCTACAGATGCTCATATTCTAGTGGAGGACTATGTTATTCAAAATTTGATGTCTCAAGGCACTGCTGTTTTTTCAAAATGCGAGTAACATACATACATTCCTGCGGATTCTTCATTATTTAATTTCTTTAAATATAATGCAGGGCTCTAATATTTGGAAGCAAAATTCAGAAAGTAATTCAGACCTTTTATAGTGAACCAACAAAAAATGCCAAAACGAAATTAATAGCCCTTCTAGGCCCGTTTGGGCTAATAAATTTTGTTTTTCTTTTTTAATCTTGCATACAATGTAATGCTGTTCACTCAAAGAAAATTAATTCCAACCAACATGATACCTATGTATAACCTCAATATGATCGCAAAGAGTTAAAGTTAACATGGAAGAAAATTCGGGACATGCAGCCACACTGAAGGAAAAACATGAACTGAATGCTGTTTGCTTTGTAAGTTACTACAAAACTAGCCACAATTCATATCCAAGATATTACAGTCAAAAGTCTTTAAACCGGACTCGGCGGGACTTCGGCGATTCCGGATTATCGATTTTTCCGGATTATAGATCATCAGTTTAAATCTGGTAACATGGCATGCAGAAATTATAAAATTAAAAATATGAAACTGTAATTTATAAAATAATGAGCAATTATGATCTAAAGGGTATCAAAATTTACAAAAAAAGAAGCTTAATATTTATTTGTTTACTTTATTAAACATTATTCTTCAATGCCCGAAATTAGGAAATTGCAACCAGAAAACTATTTGATTTATATTCGTGATATTTATAATGATGAGGAATTTGATTTAAATCATATCAAAGACGGAGTACATCGAGATGAAATACTACATTTAGTAAGGAATTATAAGCCGAATAAAATAAAAACATCTGCCCTGAAGATAACGATAGTGCTGACAGATCAACTTCCAGTTCATTACGCGCCACGACGTCCCCCCCCCCCCGTGCAAAGCAGCGTGAAATTAATAAACAGATTTCGGAACGGTTAGATAAACAAAGGATATGCCTTTATCCTTTTTTTGTAGCAATTCCACTTTTTGTTTGATGGACATCGAAACATACTTTCGTTTTGTAGATCCTTTGGGAGCTCCAGCATCGGAAATTCTATTTTACATAATCGAAAGTTCAAGATTTTTATAAAATTGCTCTTACAGTCTGCAAAAAATAATAAGCCGGATCCAATTCGAAGATTAAGGAACAACGCAATCATCAACATTAACTGAAATAGATAATTAGATAATTTTAGCTTATACCGTCCGTTATACATTAAATGTGCATGCGAAAACGTATTCTGCGCTTGCGCAGACGCATATGCGCAGTCGTAAAGGTCTTGCGCGCACGCGTCAATGCGCGCATGCGCAGAAAGATTTTAGCTTTGAGGTTCGGATTATGGGTGTCCAAATTAACGACTTTTGACTGTATTAGGTACACAACATATTACTTCTACTGTCATTGCAATTTCCATGACTTCTGTTTTCCCAGCATTTACCTGTGAAACAATAACATTTATTCTGCACAAAATAACTTTTTACAAAAGCCTTTCTCTTTACCTCACGTTTTTCAATCAGGTTGAGTTTTTGCTTGAAGCATTCATAAGCAGAATCTATAGATATTTGAAATGCTTTTTTGTCAACCACAGTTCCACCTACAAAATAAAATATGCAAACATTCTTGTGATTTTACTAGCTTATACTAACTACAACATACAAAATATTTGGGGTGAGGAACACTCTGCATTTTGTTTAAAAAAAATGTTACATAATTATCTATTGCCCAAAGCTTTAAAATATATAATAAAAAGTAACAAAATATTTATCTTCTGAATGACCTAATACCTTTTCCTCTAAATTAAATACCTTCTACAGTATGTTTTGCATTGCTTTTAAATTGCCTATATTTTATGGTAGTTTCTGATATTAATTTATGTGATTTTTATATTTTATTTTATATATACTTTTTTACATTTTGCCTTGAAACTCTAGATGCTTTTTCTCTTCAATATTTTAAAACTGGAATAGTAAACTTTTAGGAAAGTGTAATACAATGGCTTCAACAATATCTTCTAAATGTGTCTAAAATTAATTTTTGATGAAACGTTCATTTCCCCATTCCAAGATGCACTCTTATCTTTCGCATTTTGCTCATACTAAAAAATGATAATGTTGTGACATTATCAAACTCAACGTACCACATGCTTAAAAATTTTTCAAAGATATACAAAATCATATGATGCATGACTGTTTAAATAAATGCAAGAAATGCCAAAAACATATGTAACTTTTTTTTAACTTCTGCACAGCTTCACAAAACTGGCTATCAGTTACTCCAAAATGTGTATCAGGTTGGCTATTAATTATTCAAAAATATTCAATTAAAACACATTATGACTAAAGAAGGTAGGACATTACTAACATAAATAAGCCAGCATTCAATATATAAACAGTATGTGAAACAATCAAGAAACATGAGGTTTCTTAGATTACAATAAAATTTTAAGAATTAATCATACTATTAGAGATCAAAATTGGTTTAAAAATAATTATATTTTCATTTATTTACATGAACTGTAATATATAATGTATTATTAAATTGTATATGTTATACCTTTCTTATTGTAAGAAAGAGCCAGAAGACGAATTTCATTTCGAAATTCAACAACAGCATCCACTTGGTAAACAAACTCCCTGCTCAGTCTCTAGAAGAATAAACATGTCTATGCATAACTCTTTAAAGATATAAAATTTCAAATTTTAGTCGACTAAACTTTTTCTCCTTGATCATTTTAAAATACAATTGTGAAAAAAATATATTTCTAAATCTTAGAAATAGATAAAAACAGAAAGCATTTACATAAGTGATTTAGTTTAGCAAAATAAATCCACAACTGAAAGAAACAGCTATAAGAAAATAAAAAGTTTTTTTCATTTACAAGTATTTTTGCACTAATGTAATTCAAGTTAAGACATTAATATCCTTTAATTCAGAAACTATTACTCATAATATCTGTATTCCTTTTAAATTAAAAAATAATACAATTATTCTGGAACTAGGACAAAAATGTTAAACACAGTTTTGAGACTTTTCAGCACATATTTAAGTGAAAAATACATCCATTGAATTGTAAATATAATAAAAATATTGGCAAACTACTAGATCAAAATTAGCATTTCCATTTCAGAATTAAGTTTTCAACAATTTTTTCCTTCAAAGGGCTAAATATTCATATATATATATATAAACTATATCTTTAAACACCTTAAAAAAGTTTTACAACAAAAGATTGCAGTAAAAAATAAGCTTTTGTAACAAATTTTGTTCCAAGCTAAGTGCATCATGAGATTGATTTATGAATAAATCAAAAATCAGATTGAAGCAAAATTTTGATTCAAATACCATCTGCACATTCATATTACATACATTCTTAAAAAAATCCAACAATTATTAAATGCAAAAGTAATTCTAAATAGTTACATGTAATTTCATTTCACGCATTTCAGAAAACTGCCTCAGTATGCATTTCCTATGAAATATGTACAACTTAGTACATGTCCTGTTTTAACATGAAAATATTTGCTTGCTATACGACTTGATTCGCAACAGTGCACACTACACTTGCTTACATCTTTCAAGCCAATGCTACAACTGCCCATGAGCATCAGTATGCCTGTTGCTACTATTCAGTAAAAAACTTGTGCTATGAATTTCAAAGTGATTTTATGTTTTTCTGCATAATTTTTTAAAAATTAATTAACAATGAGTTTTAGGAAAATGAATTAGAAGAGTCAAACAACGGAGAAAATTGTAAGGTGGACCACAAAGGCAAAAAAAGAAATCACTGAAAAATATGAAAATGGCATGCATATTTGGGACTTGGATATTGCTTACCATATACCTAGTACAACTGTGGGAAAAAAACACTATTATGTCATCTAACACTGCAAAGGGGATGAAACTGATTACCGAACAAAGATCAGAAATGTTACAGTATTTTGAAAAACTACGTTAAATAACACAAAAACATTTACATACAGTGTATAAAGTACAGTATGCAGTGCTTCATTTATGTGCAGTATAGATTTTCACATTAAATTTGTATTTTAATAGTAAACGGTATAAAAACATGATTTTTTTATAAGAACGGATTAATTATTTTCTTACTGGAAAATTTCATTTGGTGTAACTCCAGTGATCTGGAATAGATTAATTAAAGTATCACTGCATTAACTTAAAATAAAAAAACTGCACTTAATAGAGATATGGAAAAATTTAGCCTCAGACATGCCCAGCTTCAGGACTTTATATGATCAGCAGATTACAATCCTGCAATTATTAATGTGAATTAAATATATTCACAATTCAAAAATAAATTCTGCAGATGCCCTATATGGCTGCCTACATTGCTGTGCTTGAAGCTCAGCACTTTATGTGTACAGCAGATTAGCATCCTGCAATTATTAATGTGAATTAGTTATATTCCCAATTCAAAAATAAATTCTTCAGATAATCCTACATGGTTGCCTATATTGTTTAAGCTTGAAGCTCACCCTGGCCTCAATGGTAATGTTATAATAGATAATTCATAAAATCCCCTTCCCAAATAAATCACTTTAGTGATAAAATGTAGCATGCAGCTTTAAAAAAGAAATGAGAATTGTGCAACATTTAAAAAACACTCACAGCAGATTCATTACTTTAAAATATTTAAATTATAATTCCATATTTATTAATTTAAAATCTTTTAATTCATTTATTCCCTGCATTTTAAAATATTGATAAAGAATACATTAATTTAAATTATACTTAAAACAATGGAAAAATAAATTGAAGAAAATTCTTACACTTTTCCCCGTAATATTAATATGGATTCTTTATCACATACCTGCCATAATTTTACTGAAGGTTTTATTTGCAAACTACATAATTAACCTAATTCATTATAATTAATCACATATTTCAGTTTTCCAAATAAAATTTTTCAGATGGTAAAACTCCTCTTAATCAAAACTGTGAAAACTGCATTATTGAGCCCTAAAGTTGGTCATTTCTAAGTTTTGTTAAATGGACTTATATTCATTTCTTAATTTTTAAAGAAGTTACATCTTTGTAATGGGGGGAAAATTAGAGTACACTCACATGTAAAACTAATAGTCATCCATGAAATAACCTTTAATTATGCACATTTATCGAATTCTCTCATAACAATCTGAGTTCTACCAAAAAAACTGCTCATTCTTTTAGGTCATTACAGACGAATAGTCCCTTTTTATAATTTTTTTTCTTTCAGCTTCAGATGCATTCAAAAATAATATTATTAAAGGAAATAAAGAGTGCAAAAAATGCATCATAACTATTTTTATGAAAAGAACCTAACCTTCAAGTGTTCTGCACTGAGTTCAGATAAATGGGGCTCTATCATATTACAAACAGGAAATTAATATTTTTTTTTACATGTACCTTATAGGTAGCATAGCTAGTGAACTTGAATTAGGAAAACCAAGAGGTTCTTCGATGAAAACTGGGAGTTTGAAGAAGGGTTTTAGCAATGCGATGACATCATTTCAAAAGAACTCTAAACTGACTTAAATTTATTTTATAAATGCATGATTCATGATTCAGGAGTAAGGTGATTTAAAACAACAGATCTCTCATGGTTACACTAAAAAAATTTCAGATCTCTGTAGAGATGAGAGAGAAAGGGAAACAAACTTTTACTGGAAATACAAGTAGGCAGGAGATTGCGGACAATGACAAAGATAACACCACAAAAGAAATCTGCATAACTTCACATTTTATGGCATCTTTCAAGTCTGACAAATATCATGGATTTAATGCATACACCTTAGATTTTGGATAACCTCAGAATCAGAAATCCATCTGAGTGAGGTCAGGAGATTGTGATGGCTACGAAACTGCAAAGTTATGGGAGATGACTTTTAACTCCAAAGTGCTGTAGCAGCACTTGCTGAACATACATGGCAACATCCATACAATGTCATGTGGCATCATCGATAAAGAGGTGGCACATAAAAGAGTCATGTCCAGAGACATGTGGTTCATTCATGAAAAAGTGGAAGCACGTGACACAAGTGGCAACATCCATACAATGTCAAAATGGCATTTCTCTGCTGCAATTCTATTATGTAATTCTGCAGTATTGTTGAATACTGAGCACTTGGGATGGAGCACGCTTTCATACACGTGGAAGAGACCTCTTTAAAGAAGTATGGACTGAGAACAAATATGCTAGAGCATAACTGTACCATACAGCCACTTCAGCCCCTGGTACCCCATCATGAGGATTCTCATCAATCCAGTGAACAGTTCTTGGAGTTTACATCCTCAGTTAAGAAATGTGCCTCAACTGTCCAAAATACCTGTAGCAGGCACCTGCTATCTTCATCCCATCTGATAAGGAAAAAAATTCACAAAGTCAACACACTGTTGCTTGTCTCTAGGTTATGACATCTGGATGCACTGAAATTCATATGGAAACATCTGCAGAACAAAGCACAGAAGCTTAAGAATTGTGATTTTTGGCACATCCAAACTGCGGACAACATTTCTTGCAGTATACGATGGACCTGCAGTAATCATATTGTGCACTTCTGCAATAACTTCAACAGGAATGTATGATCATCTGGATCATGGTCTATCACATGTGCATCTAGTTTCTTTAAGTTTGTTTTTATCAAATCTTGTTCAGTTTTTATGGAACACAGGCAATGTCTTAGCTTATAATTTCAGAGATAAACTCAGTTTATAACTTGAGGTTCGAATACTTCGTCCACATATCTCCGAGAGGTTATAGAACCTCCTTGAAAGATATGCAGCTCAGAGTGGTAATTTGTCATGACTCCTCCCCAAACCATTAAACTGCGGTTGTGAAAATGGGATACATCATGCACAAGGGAAGGCAAATTTTGTGTTCCTTTCTCTATCCAGATCAAAACACATCTAGAATCACAGTTCAGACTACATCTGGATTCATCTGTAAACAATACTCAGACCCAGTCGTCTTGGCTCCATTGAACATAACGACGGCACCAGTTTAACAGAGCCCTTCTGGAAAATGGAGTGAGTGGGACACAAACCATTAATTTTCTCACATACAGTCCAACCTCTTTAAGTCTTTGTGCAGCAGCAGAATGACTAATTAGAGTTCCTGTGGCTGCCTGAAAGTCTAAGACAAAATCTCTTTTAGTTGCTTTGTGGTTTCTTTGTGCTGACAACAGCAGAAAATGGTTTTGTGATGCAGTTGATGCTCTTGATTAGGTGGCCTATTAACTGATTCAGTGATTAAAAAGTGGCTCAAACTCTTGATATGACACTTTGAGGGATATTTAAATCTTGGGTGACCTCCATTTGTGTTTCACCTCCCAAATTCTACCAATTATTTGCTAATTTTGACCTTCACTATTTGACCCATTTTGACCTTTGAGCCATAACTACTGAATACTGATCACTCTCAAAAATCACATTCACTTTAATCAACACTACAGACAGGCATTCCAACATGTGTCCATTGCGCACCACATTGTCAATCACCAAATCAGCATACTTCCGATGCAGATTATGCTCAGAAATGCAATTTTGTGTTCAATTATATTTAATTCATATAAATAATGACAGCATTGGGCATTGGTTGCAACGTTACTTTTGTTAGCATATTTTTTCTCATTATCCTTCAATTTTGAT